AAAGAAAAAATTTCAATTTCGTTGTATAGTATGTCATGTATTCAACGCAATCATATGCAATTAGTTAAATGTTTTTAAAAACTAGACATGAACGGAATGAGCTATTTTTAATTTCGATTTTGTTCATATTTATTGCTTAAAACATATATAAATCTTTATGAATCTTACTTCAGTTTTCCAGTCATAGGTTCTAATAATTCCATTCTATCTGATTTTGTAGTATTCCATGCAAATGCACTTGTTTGAAGTTTAGCTACTTTTCTTTCATGTTGAAATGATTTTGTTTTCGGACAATCAATATCAGGTAAATGACAAATAAATGGAGATGGTAATGAATGAATATGTTCATTTAAACGTTCATATAATGAATATTTGACATGATTACGATCAAATGTTGCTTCACATGCTAATGTTATTGATTCAAGATAAATTGGTTTAGTAAGTAAATTTATTAAAAGACCACCTTGAATACCTAAGATATTCCATCGATATATTTTATCACTACATGATTTTATTGAATATTGTATTGAATTTGTTGAATCAAGTATAGTACCTTCTGTTTGACCTTGTTTATAACGTATAGAATTAGATAAAATATTAAATGAAGCATTACCACATGGTAATGATGATATATACATATGAAATGTTGTATTATCATGAAGTTGATATTTATTGATTGTTGAATTATATTCAAAAATTGATGATTGATTATCTTTTGATTGTTTAATTTGTTCAAATAAAAATCTAATAAGACCACGACGTGCAAGTATTTCAGCATGACAATCATGTAAAGCTATTCCATCATTAGCATAAATAAGATTTGTTTCATTTAGACAAGAATTTCCTGTAGCCATACTAATTACACGTGCTTGTTCATATTGTCCATCAGTTATCATTAACATACATGCTAAAGTTTTACGACCAAGTAATAATTCATTTATATTTAAATTTTGAAATTTTGATATAGATTGATGTGCAATATAATCATGTTTATCTGAAAATTCCAATGGAAATTGTTCTTTACTACATGATTCACGATAAAGTATACGTAAAGTTTGATCACATGCTAATTTTTGTGCTTCATTTTTTGATGAACAAATTGATGAACTAGGAAATGAACGACCATTAATTGAAATTATACACGTAAATGATGATGGAGAAATAGAAGAATATTCATAATTTAATGTAAATTTTTTTTGTTGAGCATATTCATTTAAAGAAGATAAACAATTTGCACTTTGTAAAATAGATAAAAGTTCATGACTTGGTAATAATAAAGATTGATTATCTATTGATGAAGTATTTGTTTGTTCTTCTTTGAATGAAATATCTGGACAATTTTCAATTGTTGAACAAATTGGTGGTTGTTCATTTTCAGATGGAATGTCTGAATTATCTTTGTTTGATGAAGTAATTTTTTCTTCTTGATGTCGTTGTTGTTCTTCTTCGAATGACAAAATAGATTGATCTTCAGATAATTGTGAAACAATAGAAGTTGGCAATGTAATTATTTCAGTGTCTGTACTTGGTTTACGAAGAATTGTAATTGGATGTGGAATAGTTTCAGATATTGATACAGTTGAATTATCATTGTTAGTTGTTGGTTTTGTTTTTTTCTTATTTTTTGGTTCAATTTTACGAATTACTTTTGATGAATTATGACATTCAGATGTTGATGATACTTTTGGTTTATTTGGATCATAGAGTTGTTTTGGTTGAAAACGATGATGAATATATGACGTTTGTGGATCAAAATAATATGATTGTGGCCTAAAATAAAATTATTATAATTTTCATTAAATTTTATAATATATAATTTTCACGCGTTTTTGTTATAGTATTTATATATAAAGAAAATCAAAACAAAATGTATTCATTTCATGATTATTATGCACAGAATGGTATTATATTAAAGAATATACTATATGAATCTCTTATACCATTACGTTATGATATATACGAAGAAGCAATATGTATTATAATATTACTTCTGTTACTTAGTATAGAAATTTTTATTTCTATTGCACAAATCATAATTGATTGTATGAAAGTAAAGAGAAAAATGAATAATAATGATTTGATGAAAATTTTATATCAACAACAAATCGATACTTCTTCGACAACTATAAAAACTTCTTCGACAATTAGTGAAACAATAAATGAATAAATCATCTTTTTCTTTCTATTAAATAAGATGCTAAAAATTTAAAAGAACTTGTGAAGCTGATTCTGAGTAATACTTTTTAGACCTTGTATGACCTTGTTTTTGTTGAGAAATTTTGGAGTTTCTTCTTCTTACTCTTACCATTTATTGTTTATAGACTATCTTATTCTAATTTAGCATCAAAAACGAAGTATTACTCTACATATCTCAATATGTTTGATTATTGTTCCCTTGCTCAACAATTTCTACAGAAACTGCTCTGACTAAAATTCACGCCTGAATCTTGTAAACCTATTTCCTTGTTTGTTCAAAGAGGTTTTCTTTCATATCATATATCATTCGAATCACCAAGAGACAGAGAATAAAGTTATGTAGGATTTTCGACAAACCTGAAGCGTTTAATGAGAAAATTGATTCTTTCGTTTTCTATATCGAATTCATACAAAAATGGGCTTGTATTTTGCAATTTTGACCATCATAATTTTATTTCAATGACAAAATGCATACGATATTCGGAATCAGCGTGAAAATGTGCGTTAAATGACACATGTTTTCTGGAAAATATTTTTTGGCAAAACCGTGCCTATACTCCTTCTCATTCATTTTTTTTCAATAATTTCATTTGTAAAATAATCGATTTTCTCATTAAGCGTTACAGATTTTTCAACAAAATATTTCATGAATTTGTTTTCCGTATTTTAATGATTCGAATGATTTGTGACATTTGAGAAAGTCTCTTCGAAAAAGAAATGGAGGTAGGTTTATAAGATGCAGGGATAAGTTTGAGTCAGGACAGTTTCTGTCGGGTTTGCCTACCGAGGGAACAATAATCAAATACATTCAGGTATATAGAATAATACTTCGTTTTTGATGGTAAATCAGTATGAAATAATCTGAACAATAAATGGAAATAATAAGTAGGCGAAATTTTGAGACTTCTCGATCAAAACAAGATCACATGAGATTAAAAAAGTGTTAATCGGAATTAATTTCGCGAGCTGTATTAAGTCATACAAAATTTAACGAAATACATTTTTTTTCACTATAATTTGTGAAATTTTCGACATCCTACACCAACTAAACCTATTAGTGAAGAAATAATGGAATTTTAAGAAACTTACGTCCATACGTGAGGCGCCGACATCATATGTATTCCACGAGGACGATTCATCAATCGTGGATGTATCATCATATTAGGATATTGCGAATGAAATTGATTGTAATGCTGGTAGTTGTAAGGATTATAGTGTCGATTAGATGGACGTGAAGGTGGATACATGTGAGTTGGTGATGTCCAATTAGGTGATGATAATGGATAAGTCATATGATTTGAATTTGTATTTACTAATTCACTAAAACAAAAATTTATAAGAGATTTTTATTTAAAATAAAAACAAAAGAGATAGCCCTAACTTTGCCATATTTGGTTCTTGAAAAGTAACATGTTTGGTTTTTGTTTTATTATTGCTATTTGAGGATGATTTATCAGAAAAATTTGATGCAAAACTATCCACATAATATTCTGGTTGTGATGTTACTGTTTCAGATTTATAATTTATTGGTAAAGATGATTGCTCATTAGATTGAGTTTGCATGTATGATCTTGATGGACAATAATTTTGTTCATATGTTTGAAATTCTGAATAGGGTAACCGAATTGACATCAATGGTGGAGTAAAAGCAACTAATTGTGCTTGAGTTTCAGGTTGATTCATACGTTGTGGAGGAAAGTACGAAGGTGAATGTATTGAATGATGATATGAATAACTTGGATGTGGACGGAAACGATTTGGATTCGAACGATTCATTGGTCTTATATCATGCATAGATAATCTAGACATTGGATTATTTATCTCATCAAGCTAAATAACAAACAATAATAGAAAAAGAAATTAATTAATATATATATGCATATATAGAATTATATTCTACCGATTTGTTATGTGTATAATAATTTGTTTGACTTTCAACTCGATTTTTTGATGAATCAAAATTTTCATTAGATATAAATGTGGATTCAGCTTTGAGCTGAGAATTCTGCTAAATGATTGAATAATATATTTATATAATAAAAAGAATATAACTTACATCTGATATATTTGCATTGGTATCATGTCTTTTATTATTAGATAAAGTAACAGATGAATTTTCCTGCACAGTTGTAATGTCATCCATTGATATAATAAATTCGGAAGAAAAAATATCTTTGTTTTTGCAAAAATATTGAACACAACTCAGCTATAACTTTTTCTACCTATCGTCGTTTTTTCTTTCATTATGTATTGGTAAATATTGTCGAACCAATCCGAATAAATAGTTATTCAAAAGATGGCAGTAATTCTAAGAGTGAATCCTATTATGAATATGTTCATATATTAATAAATACGGTTTTATGAGATTCTTTATTTTTATAACATATTCAATAAACAAAATTTTTTTTTTCTATTGTATATCTTCGTATGTCTTTCACATTTTTTGAAAAAGTAGTCAATATGAGCAAAATTGTCTTTAACAATATTTACTTAAAGCAACTCATAAAAAAAAATTACAGTTCTTTACAGACTAGTAAAATCTATATCAAGAATAAAACCTATTTACAGAGTATTCTTGAGCTATATAAGTTTCCTTATCAATCAATGGCTGTACTTCGTATTTTATAATCATTCCCAGCTGGAAAGTAATGACTAGAGAACTTTCTTTTTTTTCATCAAATATTTTCAAGTTTTATGATATCACCAGTTTTATCATATACTTACAATTGCACGAAGCATTTTTTTTTAAATAAAAACTGCATCTATTCACATTTACCCGTTTTATTTGACGAATGAAGACAGCAATGAAACATACGAACAGAGAAATCGAATTTTCAATATGGCAATTATTTGCACTTATTATTGCAGCTATAGCATGTTTATTCGCTATAGTACCATTTATTTTTCAATATCGATTGAATAAATGTGATTTCATAAAGATAGAAAATCCTGTTGAACCTCAATCTTATAATTCTGATGTTTCATCGGATTATCATCGAAGATATGTTCGAGATGTTAGCAATCGTGATCAATGTAGTAATGTTCCACCTATGTGTAGTGCTACAACAACATTGACTCCTGGTACAACCGTATCTTCAATCAGAACAACACGAAGTACAGTTGATACTGTATCAGTAACACGACCAGGTATTACTAATTTTCCTACACAATCACCAACGACTACAATAGATCCGTGGGCTAATACTACTCGACCATATAACTCTTGGCGTTTACCAACTTTTGCAAAACCTATTGATTATACATTACATTTCGTTTGCCCTAATTGCTATTCATGGATGGAGAGTATACCTATAACTACATTCTATGGAAAAGTATCTATTCAAATTAATATTTTAAATAATACTCAATATCTTGTACTTCATGCTAAAAATCTGAATATAACAACAGCAAAATTAATTGGTGGTAGTGGAAGCACAGCAACAATAACATATTTACCAGAATATGAAATGATTCATCTATATTTTGGTCCTACATCTATTAGTGTTGGTACAATTACTCTTGAAATTGATTATACTGGAGAAATTAATGAACAAGATAATACAGGATTTTATCGTGAATGGTTTTGGAAATCAATTGGCGAATTAAGCTAGTAAATAAATTTTATAATTTAGAAATTATATTTATTTTAACATTTTTTGTAAAATAGTTTATTAGCTGGTAATTTTCAACCAACTCATGCACGAAAAGGTAAAAAAAAAAGAAATCAGTTTTATAGATCATAGCAAAAAAAAAACAAATAAAAAAATAAAATTTTCTTGTTCTTTAAAGCATTTCCATGTTTTGATGAACCAAGTATGCAAGCAAAATTTACTTTAACAATTGAACATCCACAAAGTTCAACTATTGCATTATCAAATAGTGCTGATGTGGTAGGATTATGATCAATCACAGAAAAAAAAAGAAAATAATAATATCCAACAATATTTTTTCTTTAATAGTTTCGAAATGGATCAATGACAACATTTGGAGAAACATCAATTATTAGTACTTATTCATTGTCTTGGGCTGTTCTACCTTTAGATGAATTTAAATCAGCAACACGAAATTTTTCAACTACTCAAGTAAATAATTTAATTGATGAATTCATACAATTTAAAAAAATAATAAATTTTAGGTTAATATTTGGGTTCGACCAGAATTAATTGGTGAAGCAAATGAACATTTAAATTGGACATTTGAAACTATTGGAAAGACTCTTGAATATTTGAAAACTTATCTAAATCTATCAGATGAAAATATACCAACTAAACTTGGTAATTCAACTTATTTAATTAGATAAATTTATTATTAATATTTATATATATATATATATATATATATATAGATTTAATTGGTGTACCTGATTTAATTCTTGATGAAAAAGCTTCAGCATCATGGGGTCTTCTAACATTTCGTGAAGAACTTCTTAGTACTGATAAAAGTTTAAATTCTGCCGAACGATTACAAACAACAACAAAAGCAATTGTTGAACATATTATACAAATTGTAAAAAGAAAAAAGAAAAGAAAAATTAATTTTTTTCATAAAATTTTATTTATTATATTTAGTGGTTTCAAACAACGGATTGGTGGGATAATATATGGTTTGGTAAATCACTCTCATCATATCTTGCTTATAAAATGATTGAAGAAAATTATCCATCATTTAAATTGGTAAGTGATTATTTTATTTCTATTTGTTTTTTTTTTCTTTTAAATATAATATTTAGATGGAACAATTTCCTATACAAGAAATGGTTCCATTAATGATGGATGATTTTAAACCTAGTATATGGCCTGTATCAAATAAAGATTTAACAAATAATGCACAAATTCTTGATTATTTATCAGTAAATATTTATAGTAAAGGTGCTTCATTTCTTCGTCTACTTGAATATATTATTGGTAATGAAGCATTTCAAGCCGCTGTTATAGATATTCTATCAATAAATGATGTATCAATGATAATTAAAACATTTTATTCAAATCTTGATTTTTCTCAAATATTAAATACAACAGTTACGCCAGAAGAATTTCTTCGTTCATGGCTTGAAGAAAAAAACTATCCATTAGTAACTGTTGATCTCATAACAAGCAATGATACAATAAAAAGTACAATAATTAATTTTCGTCAAGCACGTTATTATGGTTCATTTGCATTAAATAGTAATTCATCGAATCCAAATTATGTTTGGAAAATTTATATGGAATGTGATTTAGGTGGTGCACGTGATGGAAATTCTTGGAATTTAACTGCTAATCTTGCTTCATCAAGAATAAAATTTATGTTCGAATCATTAACTCATACAATTGAATTATCAAATGAAGAATATGCATGGATAAAATGTAATAAAGATTTTTATTCATATCAAGTTACAGAATATAAGGCACATAATGCCGATGTTTATGAATTATGGCAACATTTTGTATACTTATTTGATCAAGTAAGTTATATTTATTTGAATTATAAATTTTCTCTGTTTTATTATAAAAATAGAATGTACTTTCTAACAATGATAAAGCTAATATACTTAATGATGCGTTTATTCTTCCACACGGCGGTGAAATTGTTAGTTATGATGAAACAATAAATCTTGTACGCGAAATAATTGAAGATCCAGTATCTTTTTATCTACCATTATCTGTATTTGTATGGCATTGGAATTATTTAATGAGTATCGAAGAACATTCAAAATATTTTTGGAATTTTAAAGTATTCAAAAACGAAATTGTTTTTTAGTTTTTAGATATTTAATGTGTTTATTAATTTTATTCTAGCAATTTGCAACCCGACGTGTTTTGGGTTTTTACGAAAGCGATATCGATTCACTTCTTACTACAGGAACAAATCATCAAGAAAAGTAGATATTAATAATTCAAGCTAATCAATTATAGTTCTGATTGTCTTATTAAGAATATTATAGTGTTTATAATTAGGCGTGTGACAGGTCTTAGATCAAAAGAACTGATTACCCTGATCGACCAGTTGTTTTAAGCTGTTCAATATGTATTTCTATAGTCTGAATCATTAATTAATTACTCATTCATCATCAATAAGTACAGTAGTCCCAAAGAGTCTCGCTACAGGGTAAAAAGTACATCAACTTCAATCCTTTTGCTTGATATTTTGATCACAAATAGAGTTCGATCGCTTCCTCATTCACGATTACGATCTCGAAATTTCCAAGGAAGACTTGATTAGAATAGAACACTCGCTGTAGAAAATTTCAAGATTAATGGTTATAATCAGCCGAAGATATTAGCCACTTTTCGACGATTTTTATCAACTCTTATGTGACCATTATCCAAAGAATACTACATGAATTAGATAAACTGAAACCACTTGACATGGAATTTTTATTGACGATAAAGATACCATTGAGCTATTGAATAAGGAAACTAATATCATGAGATTTGTTTTCTATATTAACATACCCTCGTCTAAAGAACAAATCTACGGGGTGACCCAAAAGTAAGGAAAAATAGTGGGTATCTAATAATAACTGATGAAAAACTGTTAATGATATTTTTCATACTTTTTATTGATGTAGAGAGTTAAAACTTTCAGAAATATAAAGTGTTAATTAGATATATATGTAATAAAAGTTTCAGCTCTTTACATCAATAAAAAGTATGAAAAATATGATTAACAGTTTTTCATTAGTTATTATGGGATACCCATTATTTTTTCTTACTTTTGGGCCACCCGGTATATCGACTTTCTAGTTCCTCAGGAAGAAGACTGATCAAGGTCTTGTGATCAGAGTTCAACATGCTCTATTTGTGGTCGAATTATGAGACTAAAGGATTAAATTTTAGGTCTTTTTCATCTAGTGCTAGGACGTTTTTACGACTACTGTATTTATGATTAACTAATTAATAACAATAGGCAGTAATTAATTAATTAGTAGGTTGTTTATATTATAAACTACAATGAAGAAAAATTTTGAAGAGTTATGTTTTGAACTATTTGTATATCATAATTTTAAGAAAATTTAACTACAACCAATAGAATTTTGTCGTCTGATTGGTTACATTATTGAAGAGAAAAAGAATATCATAGAGTCTATGATTCAATAGTTAAGAATCCTGAAGATACAAACTAAACAAGTATTCATTATTTGATCGAAGAGATTTCTTCATCATACATAAAGTATAATATCATTATGAAATGAAAACTTCTATCATAGTTTGTTTGTTTCAATTCTTCAATTTGTTATTCACAAAAAAAAAATAAAAATTCATATGTTTAGATTACTTAAATCAATGTTTTTCGAATTACTTTGTCGTGTTCAAAATACTGAAGCATTAAATAAAGCTACTGAACTTTTTCGTCGTATTCCATCAAGTTATTTTTACAATTCAAGTGGTGATACAAAGTTTGTTTCTTTTTTTTTCTTTCTTAATTATATTTTCATTTTAATTATTTGAATGCTTAGTGTTGATCCTGAGTTTTTATCAACAGTTATTTATTATCATGTACAAAATGCAAATGATATAGATGAATGGGATTCTTTATGGATACATTTTACTGAAAATTTAAACATAACATCACAAAGACGTATTACATTTTTACGAGCTCTCGGTGCAGCAAAAGAAATTTGGCGTCTTAAATCGTAAATTTCTCTTTTTTTCCTATTGAACAAAAAAAAAATTTTTCTTGTGATTTTGATTTAGTTTATTAGAAAGTGCTGCTGATATAAATTCAGATTTAATAGAAACACAAGAATTTTTTGATTTAATTATTTCAATAAGTCAAAATCCAAATGGACGTGATATTGTTTGGAATTTTTATCGTCATAATTATCTGAATTTACTCCATAGGTAAATGAAATATTTTCGAAGAAAAACAAAAAAACTATATTCGACTCTTTTTACTTTTTATAGATTTGGTAGAACCAATCGTTTATTTAATCAATTAATTGCAAATATTGCTCAATCATTTGAAAATGAGTATTATTATCACGAGGTTAATTATTTTATATTAAGTTTAAATGAATATCATGATCTTTTATTTTTTCTTCTTTGTAGATGATTATTTTTGTTAATCAAAATCCAAGTCCATCACAATTTCAACAATTAGCTATTGATCAAATTCTAATGAATATTGAATGGCTTACTAATGGCATGGCTAGATCTCTTGATGATGCTATATCAGGTGCTGATAAGAGTGGTTCGAAAAAGAAAGTTTAATTAAATATAAAACATTTTGACATTTTTTTTATTAGATCTAAAATTTATTATTCCATCTTTATCTTTAAATATTTCTAGAAAGAAATAAAAATTTTCAAACAAATATATTTTTTATTTAATATCAAAGAATCATAAGATATGAACAAAATATATTCATTTGTTTGATTGAATATTCATTTGAAAATGTTCGAAATCGATAACGGATATGTTAAAAGTTTTGTGCCATTCTTTATTTTATATGTACAGTAGTCGATAAAAGTCTTTGCTTCGGCAGCTCTCGGTCACTATATGTGCTGGAGGTCTGGACATTTTGTATACATACACTTCACCAAGAATATAGGTTATTAGTATTGCGGTGTCGTTATTGCTTGATTGCAAAGATAGTTATGATGGATGACACCTATTTTTGTTAGCAATCTTATAACTCTTGAAAAGGAAAAGTATTCCTGTGCCAGCGGACTCATCAATCCTTTCAAAAACTATGCTGATTGTTGTGAAGAGAAATCATGTACTGCCATTTGGAGGACAATAACTTAATGATAGCTCAATGACACAAATTTAAACTTTTTAAGAAGCTTTCTCTACAGTTAGACATGATAACCTACAAGTTTTAGAAGCGAATCTTCTACTAAAGGGAAATGGAACATAGATGATCATCTTATTAGTTCCAAGAATTCAAAAAACATCAATATTCGAGCAAATGAACTTATCTTTTAGATGAAGAAAAATCATAGATGGAACTTCATCTACATGTAAAAATATCAAGAATTAATCATATATTTAGTAAGAAACAATGCAAAATTTTATATACAATCTGTGTTAGGTTACAATGCCCAAAGCAATAAATAGATGTCGTCTATCATAACTTTCTTCGTCATTAAGCAATAATGACGCTGTAATTCCAATGACCTAAACTCTTGGTACACAAATTTTCAGACCTCCAGCGCATACCGTGACCGAGATCGACTGGAGTGGACACTTTTTGTCCACTGCTATAACTCTATTCAAGAACATGATAAAACGTTGATCGTTCTTTTTTCAAAAGATACGCCATTGAATGTTCTATTGTGATCATAAGACCAAATCTTTATAGATATTTTCGAAATTTTAATAGACCATTAACACTGAACACGTGCATGATTGTGTTATTTCCCACAAAAAAAAACATCGGAAGAGTCGATTTTGGGATTGACAACTGAGGTCATTTTTAACCGAATTAATTTTAGATAAAATAGACTGTCCCAGACAGTGTAAAAAACCAAAACGTTCATCACTCCACTAATACTTCTTATGGAACTAGTACTGATTTCTGCTCAACATATTTTCATCAGCTTCAATTGAAGACAAATTCTCATTGTATTATTTCGTTAAGCTTAATACTTCTTTTTTTTTTTTACTATTTCTTTCCACAGTCGAGGAAGTTTAATCTAGTAATTTGCACATCAAGCTCACTGTTTTTAGACGATGTATTTGAGAGCAGCTCAGCAAAAAAAGCGTTTTATTTGAGGACAAAGCATTCAGATCGACTGGCACAGACGTTATTTTTCACTTGTATTTGATATGAAAATAAGTAGTAATCTTCATGCTTTGAAGTCCATATTGGATCTCTGATTGGCTCTAAACATTAGAACAAAAATGAATAAACAAGAATTCTCAAAACTAAAATTCAACAATTTTCGGCTTTCTCTTATTTTTCTTTTTAGGAAATAACACAATGGTACACTTATTCAGTATTAGGAGTCTATTAAAATTTAGATTTGGTCTCGTGATAAAAAAAATCAATGTCTTATCATGTTTCTCAATAGAGTTATATGTAAAACAAAAAATGTCGCAAAAGTTTTGCTGCACCAGATAATATCTAAAACTTATTGATGACATTATTCGCTTATACATGAATAGAATACATATATAATTCAAAATAGTGTACTCTCGAAACATTTAGTAAATATCAAATAATGGATCATATTCTGGATTTAGTTATAATATTTCGAAATATTTTTTGATATGCCGACTGCCTGTCTATTGATTAATCATTGGATACAATTCTAATAATAGTACCAAGTAGCCCAGCCGGTTATCAGGTGATAACCCATCAAAACTATTTCGTTTGTTTTTTAGATGAATTTTTCTTGTTGGAGCAAAATCTAAAAGCAACGCAATTAGCACATCAATGGATAAACAATTTTATACTCTCTACTTCTATGACCTTTTCAAGGTTTTTAGTGCTGTCATTAATGAGAAAAAAGTTTGGAACTAAAGTCTACTGATATTTTTCTACGCATATCGAAAAACATGTTTTCCAAAACGAGACTTAGTGTATGAAACACTCATTCTTACGCTTTCAGATGTTGAATTTAATTCTGAACAAAATGTTGTTACCACTAAGTTGAAGAATATAAACGATTAGATTGTATCGAAATAAAAAAAAGAAGAACAATTATATAATTCTGTCAGACATAGCTTTTTTCTCAGTTTTTATTTCATGATTATTCTCGCAAATATTTCTTCTGAAACATATTATCAAAAGATGCAGAATTTTTTGGAGAATTCGATGCCAATATTGCCATTTTAGAGAACCATTGTTTTAAAAAATTTACATGATTTTTCCATTTTTTTGATCGTCACAATTGGACGATCGAGTAATCGCTATTGAATGACTATAGAATAACTTTTTGAAAATGTATCTGAGTGGTCAAAAACATATATATATATATTGAATTTTCTGTTAAATAAAAAGAAAAGATTCAAGAAATAATAACAAATCATAAAAGTATCAACAAGGCTCTTTAATAAATTTTCTCAATTAAGAAAAATTAATAAGCATACCAGACGGAAACAATTGTCCATGACAGTCTGTTAAATGATATTTAGCTCTTATCAATAGTATCGTTATCATCTGCAACTAAATCGAGGTAAGTAAAGGAGATACGCATCATAGCTAAAAAGTCTTAATTGCATTCTCTCTATACATTCGGTACATATATATGTCAATACAACTGTTATTTACTAAAAGGTTGTAACAGTAGAATAAGAACGATAACAACAGCTGCAAATTATCATTATCTGTCGTTTCGAGCTGCACAATAGTACGAATAACGATATCATAACTAATTTCGACTCAGATCAAATCGAGGAGAAAATAAAAGAGAAGAAAAAAAAACGTGCGTTCATTATATACAAAATTTCATCACTTGACAATGTCATGGATTATAGTTGATGTTGTATTTTATTGTATATCGTTGATCACTGTTGGTGCACTTGCTGGTCGTATATCACAATCAACACAAGAAGTCAATACATTTGTGACACCATTAAATATATCAACAATACAAACAACTCAAAATTTAAATCAATCAACATGTATTGAAGATGAATGTAATCCACGTTTATTATCAGATTTAGAAGTTCATAGTTATGAATTAGAATATATCTATAATAATATCAATGATACAACAGTACAAGGACGTGTAACAATTGATTTTACACTTAAACAACCTATTAATCAACTTATTTATCATGCAAAACGAATGCTTCAACTTGATGAACCAGTACTTTATGAAGATGGTGTTCATCGTCTTGTTACAATGGGAAAGTATCCACCACATAATTATATTAGTTTACGTCTTTTATTGGAAAATTCATCATTTACACCAAATCGATATAGTTTAAAACAAAAATTTATTGTCAGTTTAATTGATGGTAATGTAGGTTTTTATCAAACTTTATTTAATGATGGTAATGGAACAATACGGTAAAGACATATTTTTCTAGAGATGTTTCGAGTTTTACTTTGTTGTTTTTTTTTGTTTATTTAGGAAATTATTAGCTTCAAAATTTCAACCAACCGATGCTCGAAAAGCATTTCCTTGTTTTGATGAACCACAATTTAAAGCTGTCTTCAAAATAGCTATTCTCCATCCGGAAGATACTATTGCTATAGCAAATTTTCCTAATGTATGTTTTTTGTAATATATATATATATAAATATATTTCTTTTTAAATTGAATTATTGTTTTCAATAGATTGAAGAAACAATCGAAAATGGTTTACGTCGAACAGTATTTGCTGATACATTTCGTATGAGTACTTATCTTGCTGCTTGGGCTGTTCTTCCTAATACATATGGACAACTAGTCAGTAATGAAGATGAACCAAAAGTATGTGTATATATGTGCAGTTTGACAAGAATTTTATTGTTTTTAATGATATATCTATTCTAGGTAACTGTATGGGCTCGTCGTGAACCTACAGATAATGGTCATACTGCATTAGCACTTGAAATAGCTCTTAATTCTGTTTCATTTTTTACTGATTATTTTAATACATCAGAAGCTGTTACACCTAAAATTGGTAACTATATTGAATTTGTTTATAATATTTTAATTTGAAATTGTCTAATAAGATCTTTTGGCTGTACCGGATTTTGCATCGGGTGCAATGGAAAATTGGGGTTTAGTTTCGTTTCGTGAAGATCGTGTAATATTTAATGAAAAAATTGCATCAATAGTTCAAAAACAACAATTAGGTGAAACAATGGCACATGAAATTGCTCATTTTTGTAAGTTTAATTAATAAAAATTAGCTATGAAAATCATGATTATATATAGGGTTTGGTAATTATGTAACATGTAAATGGTGGAATAATCTATGGTTAAATGAAGCTATGGCTACTTGGCTTTCATATAAGCCTTTTTCAGTTTATTATCCTAACTGGAATATGGTAGAATAAGTTTTTTCTTATCATATTTAACTAAGATTAAAGAATATTTCTTTGTTTAAAGGAATTACAAGCATTAACTGAAGAAGTTATTCCTGTTATGTGGGATGATGCAAAACCATCATCACATCCAGTTGTTGTTCGAAATGTAACAAGTGCTGCTGATATAACTAGTTTATTTAATTCTATAACATATTCAAAAGGTGCAAGTATATTACGTATGTTAGAAAAAATAGTTGGTTCAAATACATTTCGTGATGGTTTACGAGATTATTTAAAAACAAATGCATTTGATATTGGCGATCCAACTATATTTTATAATAAATTATTTAAAAATATAAGTGGAGAAAAATTTATGAAAAATTGGCTTGAAGAATTAAATTATCCAATATTAAATGTTGATTTAAATGTTAATAATAATGGTACATATATTACATTTAATCAATCACGTTTTATTATTTCAAATGTTCTTGATTCATCAAATCTAAATAGTAATTATCGATGGATGATTAATATTCAATGTGTCTTAGGTATAATTATTTTTGTTAAAAAATGATTTTTAAGAAATGATAATCTTTTCTGTTTTTTACATAGGTGGTAATTATTCAGATTCTGATATAACTAATCTAGGTGAAGATACAATTGATTTTATTCTTGAAACAGAACAAGAAACTCAATTTTTGCCTGGAAAATTTTATACATGGATAAAATGTAATCGAGATTTTCAAGGTTTTTTTGTTACTAACTATTTATCAAATTTATCAACATATTCAAGTTGGCAACATTTTTCATTCGTATTAGACGCGGAACCAACAGTAAGTTTTAAACAAAAAATTTTTTTAATTTCATTAATCTTCTTTTTTCTTTGTTCTTTTAAAAAATAGTTTTTTTCTGATGAAGATAAAGTTAATTTACTTCAAGATTCATTTTTACTTGCTTATAAAGGTTTAATTGATTATATTGAACCATTACGTATTGTAAGTTCATTAATGAATACAACTAGTAAACAATCTGTTATATGGTGTACATTTCAATGGCATTGGGATATATTAACTGAGTTAGTTGAACATTTACCTAATACATGGACAAAATTTAAAGTTAGAAGATATAAAATTTTATTTGAAATTTCTTTTTTTATTTTTATTTACTTATAGGATTTTGCAATTAAACAAATTCTATCATCTGGAACAACAGTTGATGATATTCTAGAAATAAATTCAACTGATGATCATAATACAAAGTAGAATTAAAAAAATTTCTTATTTTAATTTCGAAATAATAGAGTACTATTTAATATAAAATTAAGTCAAAACGATACATTTATGTATTATATCAGAGCTGGACAAAGTATTCGTACTTGTATTCGAAGAGTTGAATATTCGAAATCGTAGATAAGTATGTACTATATCGACATGATACGTGATAAAATTGTAGTTCATATTTTTCGAGATGAAATAAATAACTGATTTCTTCTTTTTGTGCTATACATACATGTATTCAAATAAATAGGGACACATCACACCATGGGTGATAGTATTTTTGATTGCCAAATTTTTTTTCAGCGTTCATTTCACATTATTGTTTTTATAAAATGTGGATGTTACTTTATACCGACAACAACTTCACCCTCACTCTCACTCTAAGATCTTGTTACTGTCAATCAGACCAATTAGCTAAGGGATCGTTGACATAGATGAGAACCAAAGTATAATTTACAAAGCAAACAATATGGATATTATAACATTAGCCTAGGAAACAATATTTTTTAAATGGATGTATAGTTTTTCAACAGATACACGTATCTCATTCATTAATTGCTTTGACCATACATTGATTGCTTTGATCATATATTAATCTGCCTTTCGTATACATGATTCATTCTTACTGAATAAAAAAATTTGTTGTTATAATTTTACGAATCAATTAGGATGTGGGTACTAGTGAAGAGAAGACCCTCACACGCACCCTTCTTTTGATGATAAACCAAAAAAATTTGGTAGAGCTTGGTACTTTTCTATATTGAAAGCAGTTTACTTTTCCTCAAGAAAAATCTTTATGTTCCTCTATATTAATTTTGTCCAAAATACTGATCAGTACCAGCTACATCGACTTTTATTGAAAGAATATTTTGTCAAAACGACTTTGTAATGCGTCCATATTGTGCATCATTGACCTCAAAGAATGTATACTTGATTATTTGTCTTAAATGTAATAAGATTTTTGTATAGTTTGATTGCTTCAAACTTAATAATAAACAAAAAACAATAATAACAATATTCTGACGCATGATTCTTACAATTTCTCGGCCTCAAAATTGATCCGTAATTTCTAAAACTACTAATTAAATTTTCTCTAGTGAGGTTTTAGGAAACTCACTCTTAGGCACTTGTACTCGAGAAAGTTTGTACTTGTCCAGCTCTGCATTATGTATTGATTAAGCGTTTTTGAAACTTGTCTGTTAGTCAGCGAGAGAAGTATCTACAAGAAAACGTTTCTGATATCTAAGAGTTTCTTACTTTAAAGTATAACAATTATTCAAATGGAATAATCTCTTCTATTTTAATAGATTATTGAAAGGTTTACAATTTTCATCTCTTTGTCGAATGGGTTATAAAGATGCTATTGAACGAGCAAGTGCACTATTTAAATCAATACCTGTTGAATATTTTAATGGTAGTAATGTTGATGTCAAGTAATGATATAAAATTTGAAAGAAAAATATTATTATTTGTTTTTTTTTATTAAAATTTCCTTTTTTAGTATTGGTCCAGATTTTTTATCAGTAGTTTATGTATGCCATTTAAAGAATAATGATAATGAAACTGATTGGAATATGATGTACAATTATTATAAAACTGCAGTGGCACCACAAGAACAAACACGCGCTTTAGTTGCTATTAGTTCAACTAAGAATAAAGATCGATTAAATCGGTAAAAGCCGTTAACAAAATCCTGACGAGATTAAAATGTGAAACACGATGCAGCTACTGCTGCTGCTGCTAATTACAGGAAGATTGTTTTGTTCCACCTATTTTGGAGCACATTTCTTCACCGTCCTCTTATTTAATCTTTTAGATATGCAATAAGACACTAATTCAGATATTATTCGCATATGATCTGTGATTAGAAATGTGCGGGACCAATTTTAGTCCCGGTCGCGGTCATCGTCACCGGGATTACCCGAAAGAAAAGTTGCTGAGACTGGGATTGAGATTAAGGGAAAAAACAGTTGTCCCAATCTGAATTAAAGATTATAGCTAAATATTCTATAGTTTTAAGCGAATTATCTTACAAATCATCTATCAGAACATAATTCAAGAGAGACGATCCCAAAAAGCCCTAGTTATTGCCTAAATATAATAAAAAACCGAGTATTGAAGAATATTTTTAGATGTGATACGAATAAATTCTGGAATAGTTTTCTCTAGATCGTGACTAAGACTGGGACCGAGACTTGACCAGATTTACTAGAATTATGACCAGGACCGGGACCAAAACACTTGATCCCGCATATCTATATCTGTAATCATTTATCAGCGTCTTACACGGTCTGTGGCACGAGTTAGGGAGAAGTGTTACTAAGGTGTCTATAAAGATTAGAACCCGTTGAGTCCAAAATTTTCGGTTCCGAAGCCAGTTTATTGCAATTTCTGGAATCCAGAGTCGGTTAACAGAAAAATTTCAGACTCGAATCAATCCGACGGGCTCTAGTCAAAGTCTATGATGGCATCTGACTACGGTCTGTGGGGAAGGGGCGAGATCCAAATTCTTACCCCTATACTTCAGCATCCCTCTTAGATCGTGTTTCACAAAAATATCAGAAGAGCCGTGTTTTTTTTTTGGAATAATTGTTTTTTTGTTTAAATAGATTACTTAATGAAGGTTTAGAAAGTGGACCGAAAAAAATTAAAAGACAAGATTTTTTTGCTATGATGGCTTATATGAGTCGTCATCCAATTGGACGAGAAGTAGCATGGACATTTTATAAAAATAATTTTCAAAAACTGATTAATATGTAAGTAGTTTAAAGAAACACAAATATATATTAAAAAAAAGACTGTTTTTCTTCTCCAGTTTTACACTTGAAAATCGTCGATTAGGTACAGTTATTAATTCAATTACACGTTCATTTCAAAATGAATCGTATCTTGAAGAAGTAAAATATTTATTTAGAAAAAAAAACATCTTTAATATTTATTTATCGTTTTAGATGAATCAATTATTCTTACTTTATCCGAATGCAGGTGCTGGAACATCAGCACGTAAACAAGCCATTGATCAAGTAAATATGAATATTGAATGGGTCAGATCAAGAGAACAAAGTCTACTTGATGCACTTGAAACATTATCTCGACAATAATTATTCAATTGTTTTTCTGTACCATAGTTTGTAAATAGTTTTTTATGCAGTGTTGTTTTTATGTATTTAATATAAAAGAGTGTAAAAAAAAACCATGTAATGATATGGCTTTGTGTTTTTGTTTCGAATAAAGAACGTTTTTTTTTTGATTGAATAACATTTTAGTAGCACTTTTTTTTCTGTCGATAGTATTCGTTTAATTATTGATATCTAACCGGTGGATGATAATGAATCGGACTGCCTGTAAATGCAATTTTCCAATCATTTACTATTCATATATCAAAAGATGGAGAATTTCAAGCTCTACAAAACTGTGTATTTCAGTTCTACAAAGAACTTTTTGTTTAATTTCGAAGCAACCAACATACTGTGTATTTCTACTGCGAAACTAAAAGCAAACGAAAAAAAGAATGATATCGTTACTGAGAAATTCATTAGGTTTCTAGAAAATACAAAAATATTCTCGATGCAATCGTCTAACTTTCAAAACTTTAAACGATCGCTTCATGTAAAAATTCAGGACACAATAAATGAAAAAAAGGCGTAATTTGACATCCATTTTTGGGCCTACTCAGTTTCTAGTGAATTTTGGCGAAAGCATGTTGCACTGTAGTTTACCAGCTACCTAGTCTTGTAGATCGAGCAATTTTGATCTTTGCGACTATATGACTAGGTATATGTGTCTGAACGGCGACAAAAATTCTTTTCATCAAAGATTATATTGTTGTTTTGATAATTAAGGTAAACAAAGTTTCGTTTGATAAAAAATTAATTTTGACACGCGTTATAGTTCTCAAGAACTAAACTTTTATAAAATGATACCTATAGATGTTACGGAACAAGAAATGATTTATATACACATTAAAAATTCATGTACTGCAACAAATAGTAAAAATTAAGTCTATCAACAAGAACAGCTACTTATATCATGGCTACTAGATCTAATAGATGAAGATAAAAAATATAAGAACTAATAAAAAACTAACAAGAGAATTCATCTGAAAAACAACTATCAAATAGACACTGAAGATATTCTCTAGAGGTCATGATTTATTGTCACATATAATTTCTCAATGGCAGATATTTACAAGTCAATAATGTTAAAAATCTATCATTTATGATAATGGAACAACTGGTGGTGTAACACTTATTAATACTTGTTTTCATCACAAGATTCCATACATATGCAGGAGAGTTATTATGATGGAACACCTTGCAAAATCGATACTGATTATTTTGTCAATCGAAAATCTATTAATAGATGTTGTGATAATGCTAACTAATATTTATATGTGAACACAATCACAGGTTTGACACCATTAATACCATTTAGCATGAATGGACAACGGAAAAAATAGACATGGACCGAATTCGAATGTTTGGATTCGATCTTGACTGGGATCTTTTCCAGTCAATTAATTAAAAGAAGTAGAAATAAGTCATAAAAGAAAGGATTTCAGACTTGGTTAGGATAGATCTACATACAGTGGAATAAATGATCGAAAAATCGAAGATCTGCAGAAACACTGAGAGAAGTCAACAATGTTCAGAAATACTCGAAACCGAACCATAGAATCAATGTTTTATCTAGATTTTTCCTTCTGGAGGAACAATTTAAAACTCCTGGAAGACGAACACCTATTTTTCAGATCATAGACATAAAGTACATGCTACGATAATCACTAACTTTATTCTATAACGGGCGCTGCCCCATTGATCCTCATGCTGAATAAAATACTGTTTATGATGCTTTCATGATTGTCCATATACTTGAAGAAACGTTTGAGTAATTGCCCAAATACTGTCTGAACTGACTGGATAGTTTTCACAAATGAACCGTTCGTCTCGAACATTGCATCAGAATTCAAGTTCCATGCCTGCCTACGTGGACATGATTTTGTTATTATCAATATTCAAGATAATCGCGTGGCAAATTTTCACGTCAATAGATTATTCAGAATTGCTTTTTTTATATTAAAAATCAATCATCTTTTTTTATCGTTCTGATTTCGTATACATTTACAATTAATTTTTTAAAAACAATGATAAAATATCTTTTAAAATGATGACATAATATGGAAAATAATTAAAAATTGTATTTTTTATTAAATAGTTTTAGATCTCTATATTGGTATATAGGAATAGAGAATGAAACAATGACATCTTCACATGATTTCTCTTTTGGAAGAAATACACAACGTGTTTATTTAACATGTTAGGATTTTAGATAGTGATTTTAATGATTAGCAATGTTTGAAAACGTAAAAGCAAGAAAATAATAGAAGATCTGACCTAAGAAGACAAACACTTTTTTAAATAACTTTACGAATCAGTTAAAAAAGAACATATAGATGTACTTATTTATCTATTTATTTGATGTATGTCTAGTCTTTTTACTGTTATTTTTCCTTTTTTGTCTATTCTATGACAATTTCGAAACTCTTCTTGAATGGATCTAATTATGACGATGATGATGATGAGAAGATGGATTACTCAGAATGATAGTTATTTTATAACTATTGGAAAAATGATTTTGATCAATCAATCTCTTCTTTAAATTCAAAATCTATTCTTGTGAAAACAAACATCAGCATCATACTGAGAATTTTTAAATATCATAGCATAATATTAAAGTTTTCAATCAACTATAATCGTTAAACTATCGACTTAAAAACATCTTTCAAACAAATAAAATATTTTTATCTGGCATTATATCAATCAACAAATTTTCTACAAAATATTCATTTATCTTATATCTTACAATTATTCTTATCATGTAGTTTTTCGATGCGATTAAATTTTGTGTGTGTGTGTGTGTTATAAATTTATTATTTCATTCAAAAACCTAACACTTGATAGTGTGCAATACAATAAATAAATAAATAAATAAATTGAATATTTTTTTGTCCATCATTAATTAATAAAATAAGAGAAATATAGTTGCAAAATTGATGAGTCCATAAGACACAAATAAAAATGAAGTGCCAATTGATTCTATCGGCATGCAAGGTTTGGTATCATTGAAAACAAAAGGATCGAATGTTTGATTGATGAAATTAGGCTCTAGTAAATAATAAATCTCTTTTACAATACTCAGATTATCAATACAATTGGCAAGATTACATCGAAAAATCATTTCAGTCATTTGAGTATTATTAGGCAGATAATTTTGCTTAATATTTAACAAATAATCATCTGTTGAGGGATTATAACATGTTATGTTTTCATTTCGTTGAATGAAAATATCATCCAAACTATCTTCAATTTCAAATTTTGCTTGACAAAGATCATTAATTTGACATGATCTATAACTAGTGCAATTGATACTAGATATACCAACGTTCTCATTGTAAACTAAATCACTTATATTTTGTTTAATTGAGGTTGTATCCACTTCAGGTATATCACGAACACGAGCAAATAGGTGATTAAGAAAGTCAACATCACAACCGTTTTCCTTACATGTATACTGGATAATTGACAATAATGCAGAATTTAATTTAACTATAGTTTCTACACGACGTATATCAGTATTGTCGCATCTTTCTATACCTAAACGACCTGTAGCAACACGTTTTTGATGATCAATTTCCACAAGTACTGAGCATTGTGAATTGTCTCGTTCAATAAATTTACATGTATTGTTTACAGGTATACTGCCATTAATTGGTATGCGAATAAAAGCACATAACTGTGCACATCGAAGCGATTCAGAAATAGTCACTAGAGCCAGAAGAATCAAAAGAAAGCATGCACGAGTAAATTTCATGGTAACAATATCTCTTTTTCTGTTAATTTTAATGCTCGAAAAGAAACATGTGCACTCTCTATTTTTGATAACGTAAGTGATAAGGATCTTTTTGTTGTATAGCAATATATTACACAAGAGAACTATGTGAAGAATGGTAGAAAAAGCCCTTATTTAGTCACAAAAATAAAGATTCGTCACGTTTTTTTTATCGTCTTCATTCATAAAAAGATCAAAAATCCAAAAAAAGACCAAACAATTAAGTCTGCATAAATTTAATTTTCAGCAAAAAAAATGCTTATTGACTTTTTTTGACTTTTTCAAAATATGAAATTAATTGAGTTAGAAGCATATGTAATATTTTACCACCATTTCAGCTTAAATAATTTCGACGTGATTTGCATCTTTACTGATTGTTATATACTCGATTTTTGAATGTATTTTCTTCATTACAAAATTATTCAACTGAAAACAAAATGAAAGAAAAACCAATAATCAAAATCTCGCTTGTTCATAGAAGAGAATATATCTTGTTCTATTAGTGATCTCTATTATTCAATTGTTCTTTTTCATATCTGACATGAGAGAAAGAATATCAAGAACCGAATCAAATGTGACCGGTGACTATAAGATTTTGGCTACAGAGTGCGATATGCGTAGGCTGATATGTCAATAGATGGCGCTGCCTTTGCCACATTTTACCATGGTCGATACAAAGGTGGTATCATCTATTGACAAGTCAATGGTATTCACAAGGAAAGTTTCCCAAATGATAAATCATTTGCGAACTGAAACTATATTCATTCGATAAGACTTAGTGAATAGGTAAATACCCTCGAGCAGTTCAAGTTGCTAGGCATTTTTTGATCAAGTATTTATGAGATATGAGTCTTTCAATATATCCATATTGTCATAATAATCATGGCAAAGTACCTATATTTTAAAAATTTATATCTCGGAGAGGCTTAGTCAATAAATTCTAAATTGTTTTTTGTACAAACTAGTCTAATCAGTGCCTTTATGTAAGCTAAGTTTCACGTCAAAATTCAAAACTATAATATCGCTTGAAAATTGGAGTCATACAGAAAAAATTCACTAAAATTTCAGTATTGCCAACAACAAAGGTCAGATGGCTCCAGTCATTCTAGGATATTTACTTACTCACTAGATCCTATCGATTGAATATAATTCCAGTTTAAAAGCGATTTATCACTTGCGAAGCTACCCTCGTCAATGGAATCGGACAATACAT